TCTCGAATCCATTAGGTGGCCGCAGTTTTTCTTCCTGATCCGTATTATATTGAATTATAGATTATACCTTTATTGAAGATTATTTAAGATCTTATAATTATATTGTAATATTTAAGACTACAAAATAATAACTGCCCTAAATTTTCTAAGCGAATGTCTTTGACGCTTTTTTGCCTTCCGCAACAAATGTGCGCGAAGCGCTACACATATTCTCGTTCTAAGGGCTAAGCAGAGATTCCACAATCGCAAAGCTACTAGACGCTCCATTTTGAAAGTGTTAGGATATTGGAGTGTGTCCTGTACCCTAGCAGGAAAGTCATGGGAAGGGACTTGTTAAATGAAATGAAAACGTATTCTTTTACATTTAATACTTGGTTTGAAAATACGTTTTTTAATTTATTTATGTTTTGAATTTTAGTAAATGACGACCTCTCCAGTTGAAATATCAATGCATTAACAGATGACCTTAAGCTGAAATTATTTTTTAATTTGAAGCATTCTCGTTCACGTTTTGCAAATGTAAGTTTGAATTCGATATTGTAGCTCTAAACACCATCAAAGGGATATTCATCTTGCCTTTGACATCATCATCCAACACTTTTTACCCAATTAAAATTTTTCTCAAATCGGAAATAAATTATTTTAAAGAACATGTTTCATGCGACGATAACAAGTACAAAATAATAGTCACTTCCGCGAGTAAATACAAAGATAAATATGATAACAAGTCAATTATTAATGCACGTGGTGTTATTTGTGATTGTAAACATTTGTAAAAGGTGGGACATTCCGCATCTGATAGCCTTTAATGTAAACATATGACTAGTTTTTCATCTGGGCATAGCTGGCATCAACTTTATATGCAAAAGGAATCAAGTTTTACAAGAAACTGAACAGAGAAAAATGGAACTTAATGTTTTATATGATAATTACCCAAAGTTCACAAATACAAAACGTTCCATTCTGATTACATGGGAATAACAACATAATTAACATGGCATGTATTTTGTGCAATACAATGGCCCTCAAACATTTTTCTAATACTGATATATACATATTTTTTGGGGTTGCTTTCTGTCCTACGTGAACTGGTAAATATATCTAAGTCAAATTCCTATTGTACTGAATCAGCAATCATGTTTTACATTTCAAACAACAATAATTTATTCTTATGACTCAATAAGTCCTATTCATCTCCATAGACAACGTTGTTACCTCGAATCAGTGGAGTTTATTCAGTTTCGAATTTGGTAGCTTCATAAAAACCATCACATCTATTCCAAAATTCTAATCTCCTGGAAAAGCGTTGTAAAAGAGTTTTCGCCTCCTCTCCTGGAATTAAAATAAAGTTATGGTTAGATTTTTATGTTCTGAAATTTTGGGACTGGCTTTTCCATTGACCCCACACACAGTGACAAATTATTCCTGAAACTGATTGAAGATGGTCGACCGCTCATCTTTTTTTTTGTTACTATAATTCGGAACCCTTGTTAATGATTCCACTAGATGCAACTGGAGTACTTGTTTCTCTTCTTCTAGCATTATTTTCGTGTGTCCAGCAACGCAGGATATTTTTCTCGTTAATTTGAATTATTTTTTATGTTCATTGACATTTTTTTCTAGTTCGCGCATATCGCATTAAACTTTCCCATTTTAACTTTTAGTTCCCAAAGTCGTTTGAAATAAAAAATTTTTACAAAAAGAAACCACCAAGTCAAATTAACAAACGAATATTTTGCTCTTCCCAAGATTGGTTTGTATTACTAACGTCACAGACAAGATTTCTGCCGAAAGAAACCACATGCACCTGACTCCATTGGGTAGAAAGATGAAATGTAGGCATATTTCATTCACCTGGTTTTCCACAATCAGTTTGGTAGATGGCATAAAATTAGCTCCGCCGGGTGACTTGTTGAAATTATTTCTTGGCGAGACATAGAGTAATAACTAAAAACAGTAAAATACAGCAATAACTCTTTTTTTGCAAATTCGACCCTTAACTACGTAGTAAAAATTTAAGTATTCATTACCCTCAGGTCATCACGCAAATTAATTTTCTTTTGAAAATAATTATTGTCGTAGTTTGAACATACTACGTAATAAAAGTATAAATTATTTCCCATGAGCATGTAAAGTTAAACAGAACTCTTAGATTTGTCAATAATTTTCAGAGATATTTTATTTCCGTGAGAGTTATCCCTTAATGCCCATCTAATATTTTTGATTTGAGGAAACAACGTGTTCTCACCTGCAGGCAATAGATGCCACCTCCTACACACTTTTAACATCTAATTAAAATATTTACAAAGTGGTTACACAAGATAGAGAGAAACTCGGTGCAAGATTACTATATTCAAGTTTTTGGCAGTTAATTTTGAATTTAGAATTTATGTGGATATTACTAAAGAATTTTTTTGTTATAACAAATAAACGTTAAAAACCTTACTACAAGGAGTCATTAATCGTTGGCACGAGCGTCAGAATGAAACTTGACCCATGCGTGGGATATGTAATAATTTTGATACGGACTGTTTTAGTTCTTTTCGGTTCCAGCTGTCAATGACCCCTGATCTTTCCTTAATGGTTTCTGATTACCACACGTGCCAACACTGACCAAGTAATTTGGAGAAAAAACATTTCTTTCTGCCAGTTTCTTTATTATTAGAATCTTATAAAAATATCAGTGGTGGAAAAACCATTGAAGAAATATTTTTGTCTTGAACACTAAGTGAAAAATACTTTTTTTACTATTACTATTTGAGTGCCTAATGGAAAACTACTTTTCACTACAAATTATCAAAATTTATAGCTATTTTTCAAGGTTGACCTTGTTTTAACATGGAAATGTAAAATAAATTTCAGTGATCGCTCATGCCTTGATTTTTTTAAATTCAAATTAAAATAAACCGTATTATTTTTTCTTGCGATATGTATAATTATAATAATCACATTGACTAGTTCGAAATATCTAGCCTTCACAATATTCTATCGTTTTCTGATATGTTCCTTGAATTCTGGAAACGAGGTCAATTCACGTAATAATCAAAGTAAATGAAAAGAAAATATCACTAAATCAGAACACAAAGAATATATTACACTAATGTAAATTGTATTATTCAAATTAAAATGTCTAAATTTATCATTATCAAAGGTTACCTTCTCGGTCTCATTCTTGTTTAGCAATAATCCAACCTTGAATTATATCTAGAAAATGACCTTAATTGGGTTTTGTTCGTTGCATCAAGCCTTTGTATTTATAACAATATTAATGGATTAAAAACCTGAGACATTCGTTCTCGACAATAACTGTTTTTGAATTATAATCATATATCATTTTAAAAGAAAATCTTATTAGAGCTTTTCCATATTTTATATAATCAATTAGTCAAGTACTTATTAAATTAAGTAATAACTTTAATATTTAATTATTCCCTAAACATATATCTAGGAGAAGAAATATATTTTAATTTTTTTAGTCTCTGAATATCTCTGATCTGATACTCTGAATCTCTGATCTCTGAATAAAGATAAATGGTTTTTATTTAACTATCTTGATTAAATCGTTTTAATTCTCAATATAATATGGCTTTCGCGAAACATACACATCTCCTGAAGTTTGAATCTTTGGTGATTTCTCTATAGCATTTCTCTTCGCAAACGTTCCACGTGGAACGAACAGAATTTTTCCGACCGTGCCGCTTAGGCGAGTCAAAAACCCCTCCTCGCGGTGCGGCGCGAGTCTCGGCCCTCTGCACAGAGTTCCGGTGGCGACTCAGAGAGCGCGATGCGAGAGTCTGCCAACGCTGACAAGCCTTCGCTGCCTGCCCCCCTCCGCT